TGAGTGTTGGTGAAGATGGAAAGTGACATTCAAGAGTGTTGGTGAAGATGGAAAGTGACATTCATGAGTGTTGGTGATGATTGAAAGTGACATTCAAGAGTGTTGGTGAAGATGGAAAGTGACATTCAAGAGTGTTGGTGAAGATGGAAAGTGACATTCAAGAGTGTTGGTGAAGATGGAAAGTGACATTCAAGAGTGTTGGTGAAGATGGAAAGTGACATTAAAGGGAGTGTTGGTGAAGATGGAAAGTGACATTCAAGAGTGTTGGTGAAGATGGAAAGTGACATTCAAGAGTGTTGGTGAAGATGGAAAGTGACATTCAAGAGTGTTGGTGATGATGGAAAGTGACATTCAAGAGTGTTGGTGAAGATGGAAAAGTGACATTCAAGAGTGTTGGTGAAGATGGAAAGTGACATTCAAGAGTGTTGGTGAAGATGGAAAGTGACATTCAAGAGTGTTGGTGAAGATGGAAAGTGACATTCAAGAGTGTTGGTGAAGATGGAAAGTGACATTTTTACCATTTTATATGTAAAATTCTGTGAAATGTTTATTCCCGTTAAATTCTGGAAACTGCATTAGTTTACCTCTCGTGAACAACGTCAATATTCACTGGTTGATGGATCTTACTACCAGGATAATATTCACTGGTTGATGGATCTTACTACCAGGATAATATTCACTGGTTGATGGATCTTACTACCAGGATAATATCACTGGTTGATGGATCTTACTTACCAGGATAATATTCACTGGTTGATGGATCTTACTACCAGGATAATATTCACTGGTTGATGGATCTTACTACCAGGATAATATTCACTGGTTGATGGATCTTAATACAGGATAATATTCACTGGTTGATGGATCTTACTACCAGGATAATATTCACTGGTTGATGGATCTTACTACCAGGATAATATTCACTGGTTGATGGATCTTACTACCAGGATAATATTCACTGGTTGATGGATCTTACTACCAGGATAATATTCACTGGTTGATGGATCTTACTACCAGGATAATATTCACTGGTTGATGGATCTTACTACCAGGATAATATTCACTGGTTGATGGATCTTACTACCAGGATAATATTCACTGGTTGATGGATCTTACTACCAGGATAATATTCACTGGTTGATGGATCTTACTACCAGGATAATATTCACTGGTTGATGGATCTTACTACCAGGATAATATTCACTGGTTGATGGATCTTACTACCAGGATAATATTCACTGGTTGATGGATCTTACTACCAGGATAATATTCACTGGTTGATGGATCTTACTACCAGGATAATATTCACTGGTTGATGGGTCTTACTACCAGGATAATATTCACTGGTTGATGGAGCTTACTACCAGGATAATATTCACTGGTTGATGGATCTTACTACCAGGATAATATTCACTGGTTGATGGATCTTACTACCAGGATAACATTCACTGGTTGATGGAGCTTACTACCAGGATAATATTCACTGGTTGATGGATCTTACTACCAGGATAACATTCACTGGTTGATGGATCTTACTACCAGGATAATATTCACTGGTTGATGGATCTTACTACCAGGATAATATTCACTGGTTGATGGATCTTACTACCAGGATAATATTCACTGGTTGATGGATCTTACTACCAGGATAATATTCACTGGTTGATGGATCTTACTACCAGGTAATATTCACTGGTTGATGGATCTTACTACCAGGATAATATTCACTGGTTGATGGATCTTACTACCAGGATAATATTCACTGGTTGATGGATCTTACTACCAGGATAATATTCACTGGTTGATGGATCTTACTACCAGGATAATATTCACTGGTTGATGGATCTTACTCCCAGGATAATATTCACTGGTTGATGGATCTTACTACCAGGATAATATTCACTGGTTGATGGATCTTACTACCAGGATAATAACTCTTAAGTTTCGTTTATGTGAAGACAAATTTGCTGATGTAGTAAAATGGTAAAGAAAATTTTGGAATCGTTGGAATCCGCGCAAGGATGACGCTGCTGCTGGTCGCCATAAGTCTCAATTTGCAATTTTTTGGAACGAACACAAATATTAATTTTTATTCATTAACTGAAATCTGTTTCTTCTGACTGGCTTCAAAATATTATTGACGATGTATTCTATAAGAAGGTTAACAATCTATAAGTTTATTCCGAGTTGCGGAAATTTGAAACTTCAAATGAAATTGCTGAAAAAAAATTTAAATCTTTGGAATTAGATCAATTATTGACAAATTCCTTAATGGATCGGCTTCAAACTTTTATAATTGGTGAGTTTATTAAAATAGTTTGCCACTCTGAGCTCTGTAAACTTCTATTTGACAATTTTATTAAATAAATTGTTTCCAACGAAATAACTAGAGAATGCCTCTTCTGATAAGCTTCAAACCTAAACTGCTGCTGTATCTTAAATGGAAGTTACTTTTGCATTATTTTGGTCTGTGTAGGAACCAATTTGGTCTTTTTGAAAATCCTACCAAATTTAACTTTAAAAAAATAAATATCTTTCTCTTCTTACAATATTGGAGAGAATTTTAAATAGAATATAAACGTGAAAAGTGGAAAAAATAGCATTTTAATGGCTTTTTTAAGTTTAAAGAGAAAATACTTTCCTATTTCTCAGAACATTCTCAGTAAGTTTTTATTTACTTTCTCACAAATTTTCTTTTATCACTCAAGAATGCCTTGTTCTATCGGCTTCAAATTTTCAACGCTGGTGTAATGTATGTTGGGCAAGACTCAGTGGACTACCTGCACGTGTGGGTGGCCTGTGCACGGCGCTACATAGGCCATTTCAAAATTGTGTTTCTGTGTGATAGGTAGAGACAGCCTCCTCTAATCGCTTTCAAAATTTCAACTCTCGAAGGAGTTGGGATCTTGTCCTAAACCTCAAGCTATTTGTTAATCGTTTTAACGTTTTTTTTAATCACGTATAAGGCTAATGTTAGTGTTGGATAATCTACAGTTGACTTAACTTATGATGTATATTGAGCTCAAAATAACTCTTTGTTAAGGTTTCAAAATGCTTGCTTTAAAAAGCTCTCATTTCCGGTTCTTTTTTTGTATGATGCATGTCTTTGATGATTTGTGCAGTGTTTTATTTTTTGCCCCTTTATTTTTTTTTTGTTGTGGTTTTTTTGCTCTTTTCCCTTTGTTTCAGAATATGACTTGCGGGGTTTTTGAAGCAAGTTTTTAATTACAGATCGCCCCTCCCTCCCCCCTTTTTTGTGGTTTTTCTTTTACTTAACAACACTTTTAAAATGTAAACACACATTGAAACCTTTGAAAGAAATAAAATTTGTTTTTTTTGTGGAATTCTTGTGCACCCCTGTGTCGGGAATTCGCCACTGATCCCGATGTCTGCATCAGAACTTTCGTTTAGTGGACATTTTTTCCTTTAGCATTTCCCCTTAGGATCATTAGCCCCAGGTAGTAAAAATTTGCTTAAGAACCTTCATTTTCAATATTAGGATAAACCCTCTTGCGTGATACAATGTCGCATGTCTTCCAGTCCCCCGGGAAATGGAAATAAATGGTATAAAATCCGACCAATGGAAATTATAAACACAAATGCAGTAAAAATGTGACCCTTAATCCAGTTACACTTGAAGAAGGGGTCAAACATTCCCCTTTTTCCTTGATGTTTATCTGCAAAGCTGACCACAAACTTTTTTTTAAAGTCATCAAAAAACCCACCAACCAAAACGATCTTCTCCACTTTACTCTCCCACGACCCCAAAACCAAACGTGGTAAAAATTATAGGCTCTTCCTCCCGTCATAGATCTGCAGCAACGAGTTCCTTGGGGAAGAATGCCTAAAAATTTTAAAACAGGTATTTTCAAACCCACTATCCTCGCATTATCGAGAAGCAGCGGCGGCATAAACATCTTCAAAAACCCCGAGAAGACACTGCCGAGGAGATACATAGTCCCTTCCACCAACCATTGCCCAAAGTTTTCCCAAAATCTTTTGCCAAAAAAAACTTCCCAAATCTACCCCCACAACCCCCGCCCCAAGGACACACCCGTAGTAGGCAGGACAAGCCCCCCATCCTCTGCAGGGGTATACAAAACCCCTTGAAAAGACTGCAAAAAGTTATCGTGGGCGAAAAACCAAGGGGCCTCCAAAAAGTATTTCGAAACCAATACCAAGCAGGTTGAGACACAAGGAATGCCTGCGTACAAAACCCTAATTCCACAAACACTTGATAAACTACGAAACTCAAAAACTTATCGCCAAGAAGACAACACTCAAAAGAAAATCCCGGAATCATCCTATTTCATATCCGAAACTCAACCAAATGTGGCTTTTATAACATAGCTGAACCATTTCCAAAAAACTTCTTTATCGTATCCCACATAAGAAAATGAGAAGGCTGTCACCAACTTTTCAGTCTCCTTTCCCAAACTACCCAAATTTTTAGATCTACAACCCCAAACCCGGGACATCATCAATGCAGCATTCTTCACCCGCCTCAGCCCGGGCTATAAATACTCGCGTTCCCTTCCACCCAGTAGTTGTTTGTGACTTGAAAAACCCCCCTTTTGGGCGAAAAGTGTCAATAAAGGATCCATTATCTGCATTTGGTTTATATTGCACCCCGGAAAAAGTTTACTTCCTCCCTTTTCTTTCCTGGTAATCCTGTTTGTTACACCTGCCAAAACATGGTGTTTGTGACATGCACAAAAATGGGTGTTTGTGCTGTTCTAGTGTTATAAGAAAGATACTCCAGAGATTAAAGTTTATATATAAGGATATTGTATGATGAATAGACGTGTAGTGGCCCAGGAGAGTCATAGCGTAATCTAATATAAAAGGGAGTATACCCAGGTAACTTTGCTAAGTAAAATAAATATTTTTAGCTTTGGACCATTAAAAAATTTGTATTGTGTTCCCAAGGGAGTTTGTAAAATTCTCCTTTGGGCTTTTCCCGTAGAAATATTTAGGTTTAGCGCTTGTTGCTTCTCAGTTATATGGAACAGTTCTTAGAATCTAATAACTAGTATGTAAATATTTAGATAATTAATATTTATTATAATTGCTTGCATCTCCTGTAGACTGCCAGGGCAGAACATTCATTTACATAGTATCGCCCGCAGACTGCAATGACAGGACAGACTCCCGTATAGACTCATAGCAAAATGGCCATAGCATCAGTATCGCCAGCAGACTACCGTGGCAGAACAGATTCCCGTAGGCCCTCAGCAGAGCAATCATAGCTTTAGTGGTGCCTGGAGACTACCGTGGCATTACAGTCATTGCTTCACGACCTCTGGCCTTCCCTCTCGCATTGTTACTGGTTACAGCGGAACGAAAGTAACGCACGGATCATGTATACATATAAGATCATCTCATCATGATATGGCTAAGATGTGGTGATAAGAGTGTTGAGGATGATGCAAAGTAATACTAAGTAATGAAAGAATAACACAGGTGCAGAACCAGCTTCAGCTGTAACAACGTTTCAATATGTGTTGAGTTAAACGCTATCATAACAAAATTTACTCTGCACCTATGTCTTCTATAGGCTCTCTGGAGTACGTGTTTGCACCTAGGCGTGGGTAGATCAATAGGGACAAGACAGACTAGACACAAGTTACTCAGACGACTTGCTGTTATAATTGCTGGTTCAACTTGGCCTCGCCGTTCTGATCACTGCCGTCCTCGAGGTCTTGATCGTCCTCGTCCTCGTATTCGTCTTCGTCCTCGGCGCCTCTCGTACTGGACTCCACGATGCGGAAACACTCAAGGAACTCGTTGAAGTCGATGTAGCCGTCTTTGTTGATGTCGATGGAGCGAGCCAAGTCAGTGATCTCCTGGTTGGAGATGGGGACGTCGATGTGACGACTCAGGAGCTCACACGTCTCTCTGAATTCCTCCATGCTGATGTAACCTGAACCACAACAATACTCTGTAATAACTTCATATTAAAGGAAAACACAAACATGCACATACACATACAAACATACATACACACTATATACTGTATCCAACATATGTCACGCCCATCTTCTAGTATGCAGCACCAATCACTTCTGAGAATTTTTGGCAGTTACCAGTGGATAAATGAATGCTTTATTAAGTAAGTAAGTATGTATGTTTATTCAGGTATACACAAATACAGTTACATCATACATAGCAGCAGCTGTGTAGAGAACCTGGGGTAACCCAAAAAATTCAAAGTGACTTATTTCCATTGGGGTCCTTTTAATACCTTCTTATTATACTATAGAGGAGACAATATCTTATTATTATACTATAAAGGAGATATACGTACTAGTAATGAGGTAAAATGAATTATTTATATTTACATGTGTGTTAGCTAAAAAAAAAAGAAATAATTTCCTCCCTTTCTGTCGCTACATTCATTAGGCACCTTTTGGCTCTCTTCTTGAACTGGTTCATGCAATGACTGGCTTTGACATGTGCAGGCAATCTGTTCCATTCCTTTATTTAAGACTGAAGAGCAAGTAGCAAGTAATTATAATATTTAATACTGGTTAACATTTTCAGCTATGTGTTCCTGGTGCCAGCCTCACTTACCAGAATTGTCCTTGTCGATGAGTGTGAAGATGGTCTCCAGGCTGCTCTTGTGGCGGTACAGAGCCTCCAAGACTGTGGGACCACCCTGCCAACACAATACTGGTTACTGACCCACCAACACCACGGTGGTGCATGATCCACCAACACCAAGTTGGTGAGTGATCCACCAACACCAAGGCAGTGTATGACACACCAATACCAAGATAGTGCATGACACACCAACACCCAGGCAGTGTATGACACACCAACACCAAGGTAGTGCATGACACACCAATACCAAGATAGTGCATGATACACCGATACAGTAAACTGATATATCTAATGAAAGACAAAATAAAGAGTTGACATCTCAAGGCGGGTTCTTTGATGCCGGTGAAAGACTCTTGATCTAAGGAATTAGAACTACTCTACCTCTCATTTCCAAGACAAATATCATAATATATTTTCAAACTGAACTTGTAGTAAAAGGAGAGGACGGATCTTGTAGTATATGAAGAGGCATCTAGGACAAGTTGTGCTGTTTGTACGTGTAGAAGAAGAACTATGGAGGCTACAGTACTGGGTGTCAGAGAGAGGTTTACTACTAGGTCGCAGTCAACAGACAAGCCCACCCGTCAAACTGAGCAGGCAAATATTCCATCAGTTTATCAAACTGTTTGTTATCTAGTCAACTAGTTTACAGAGTCTGGCTTAACTCTGAAGGGCCAAAAAAATTTAAATTAGCTTATTTTTAATGTTTTTATTTTCTTTGTCAGACTTTTCTTCGAGGTTCAACGCGCGAATATTGTCGTGAAGATATGTGATATTACTGCACAGAGTCGTGTAGAACACTGCTCTAACTACTGTAACTATCCAGTGTTGCCGTGAATCACATATCCAACGAAATACATATTTATTATTATTATTATTATTATTATTATTATTATTACAATAATCAAAAAGAATCGCTAAGCCACAAGGGCTATACAGCACTGCAGGGTAGGGAAGGAAGCGAGGGTATTGGGCGGCAGAAGGGGGGAGGGATGATCAGTAGGTTACAGAAAACAGCGGGGCAGGGGATAGTGCGGGGTAAGGTAGCAAGAGATTGAGGTAGAAAGGGCTGAAGGTATCAGAGTTTGTGAAGTAAGTCAGTTGTTGTCAAAAAGTCAATGAGAGAGTCCGGATGAAAGGTGGGTCCATCAGCGAGAAGGGAAGGTAAAGAGAAAGCAGCGGAGCGAAGACGACGACGGAGGTAAATTCTGCATGCTCGTTGATAAAGTAGGCATCTAACAGAATGTGGCTGACTGATAATGGAACATGACAGTTCTCACGAGAGGAGCAGGGCGCCTCTCCATGAGATACCCATGAGTAAGACGAGTATGGCCAATGCGAAGACAGGAGAGAGTAGTCTCCAACCCTCGACACTGGTGACAAGAAGATGGCCAGTAACCTATACTCATTTTAATAGATTGAATTTTGTTACCAAGCAAGTAGACCAACGTTGTTCCCAAAGGGGTTTGTGAAGGGGGGTAGTTATTGCAGCAAAATAGTCAGTAAATGGAATACCTCTACATGAAACTGGTAGGTCATGTTACTGCTGACCGCGCAGCAGTGTTGCCTGTTCATTGCCCTGTATGTCAACATGACAGGGGCCCAACAAAAAACAATATCTTTATGCTTTGGTAAAGATGCGGCGTGCCAAAGTTGGATCAGAGACTAAGGGGTGAGGGTGTAAACAAATTTCTTATAGCTGTAAAGCACTAAGGGGGTCTGAGAAAACACAAATGATTTACACAGGCATAGATTTCAATTTTGGATAAGTGCTGCAAGAATGGCATACAATTCAGCAGTAAAAATACTAGCCGAAGATAGTAAATGCCCTCGTACGACACCCGTCTGGAAACACTGCTGCGAATCCTACGCCGTCAGAAGACTTAGAGCCATCTGTGTACACTGCAATGGCATGAAATGGGGTGGAAGTGGTTAAGAAAAAGAGAGCGGGAAGTGACCGTAGACAGTTGGGCTTTGAGCAAGGGAGAGAAAGAACAGACTCGAACAGCTGGAACTTCCCAGGGGGGTAGGGAAAAGTGAGATGCTACATGAACATAGAAAGGTTGTAATTGAAAAGGGAAAAAAGAGCGGTGCAGGCGAAGAGAGAAGGACAGAGTAAACAGGGGCGGGTAAACAAATAAAGAATGTCTACTAATATCAGTGACCATTCTATAAATGGAAGGATTGCGGAGATCCTGAGAGTGTACATAGTAGTGAAGGCAATGGGCATCACGGCGATCGGATAAGGATGGAACGTTCGCTTTTGCATAGAGGCTGTCAACAGGGGAAGAGCGAAAAGCACCAAGGGATAAACGTAATCCTTGGGTGATGAATGGGGTTAAGGCTAGAGAGAGTAGCAGGAGAGGCCGCTGAATAGATCTGGTCCCCATATTCAAGTTTTGATAAAATGAGGGTGGAATGTAGGAGAAGGAGAGTTCGACAATCAGTTCCCCATGAAAGATGACCAAGGGTTTTAAGAAGGTTCAGTCGGCTGTGACAAGTTGCCTTCAGAGAGGTAATGTGAGGGTTCCAGGATAACCCCACGGTTTAAAGAGGAGGCCCAGAAACCTGACTGTATCACGTTCAGGGATACGGGAGCCATAGAGGTACAAAGGATAATCGGAGATGACAGAGCGTCTAGAGAAAGTAATTTGGTGAGTTTTGGTACTGGAAAATTTAAACCCGTGTGGTGGCCCAATTGGAACACGGTCGACCCCATGCTGGAGAGAAACTGTATTTTGGTGACAGTCAGCCCCTCCCAAGGAAATAGCGAATATAAACTAGAGTGATGCCCCAAAAAATTTATGGAAGACTAGGGGCCAAATCATTTATAGAAAGGAAAAAAAAAGTTTGTGTCGAACACATCCCTGGGGGAACCCCTTCAGTTGGATAAAGCCCGGGGGGGTTTTAAAAAACACAAATTTTATTAAAAAAAAACCCGGGACCAAAGGGGGGGAAAATTTTTTTTTTCAAAAAAAAAATTGGCAAAAAACTGAGGGGTTATTCGCAAAGCATTAGAACTACGTTCCAAGGTAGTATGGGGTTTTTGGGTAGAAGGGCCCCTTAAAAAGCCATATTGACGATGGGGGAATGTTGTGTGTCTCTAAATACCAAAAAACTCAAACGTCCTTTTAAACCCAAAGGGGGCTTCCATCCCAACCTTTGCAAACTGAAAACCCCTGTAAAAAGGCAAATGGGGGAAACGAATAGGGGGAAAGGGGCTTCAATTGTTTCCCGTGCCTTTGCGGAAGGAATTTTTTGCCCCAGTTTAGTGAAAGGAAAATTTTCTTCCAAAAAGAAATAAGGGTAAAACTCGGGCGATTTTGAGGAAAGAAACGAATAGAGGGCCCAGCGGACCAAATGTTTTGCCAATTTTTTGGAACATCTGGGGGTTTTGCTATATCAACACGGCAACCCCCAGAAAGGAGGGGGTCAGGAGAATATTTTCCACTCAGTTTTCGTACTTTTTTCCCGACGTCATAGAGGAAGCAGAGGTGATGGGGAGACATAATTTGCCGCAAGTGCTTTTGATCACAGTGACACGGCGGCGATTGAACTTCTGCTTAAAAAAGAAGTCTTTCGGGTTCTATTGTACCGGGACTGCCCCCACAGTGCGTTTAAAAGATGCTGAGCACAAGGGAGACCACCAAGGCCGCTTTTTTGGGAAAGCCTGCCCCAAGTTTGGGGATGAATAGAAATGTATTAAAAAGGAGGACGAGAAAAGGGGGTAAAAACTCATCAATGGAGGCGAAGAAGGAACCTCATAAAAACAGTTAGTTGGGGGTAAGGTTCCCAATTTGTGTAAAAATTGGGCCCGCAGGGATAGAAGAGGTGGTGAAATGAAGGGGGAAATATGATGGGAATGACGCTGTCATGTAAAACCGGAGAACAGGGCCAGGGGGAAGTCTAATGCGGTGGGGAAGAGCAGACGAGAGATCGTGCAAGAGAGAGTGTGGTATGAGGTCAAAAAGGATGTGGTACCGTATTTAAAAATGGAGGGGGGGGGGTAGCAAGAAAAGCCCCTAATGAAAAGGACGGGAAACACGTGAGACCCCCCCCCCGAGGAATGATGGGATTAAAAAGCCAAGTAACAGAACGGGGGCGGTAATGACGAAACAAAAAGGAATATCCCGGGGGAGATAAAGCCCGAGAAGGAGAAGATATAAAGAACGATGTTACCACCTTTGAAATGGTATGGGCCCCTGTGTAAAGCAGGAATGAAAAATAATGTGGGAGGAAATCTGCATGAAAAAGGCACTTTATAAAGGTCCATCAGGGAAAAAGGGTCTGAAGAATACAAAAAATTATAGCCTGAATGGGGTAGAAACAGCAGAGTGAATTTTGGTTCCTGTAAGCAAACACAAAGGGGGAAATGGGAGAGTAAATTGAAGCCCCCCCTATTTTCCTGAGGGGGCCCCCTATTTTATGTAAATAGGCCATAAATTGGCAAGATAAAAATACTGAAATCTAGGAAGGTTCTACGACTAGAAGGTTGAAAAAATCCCCCATGCGGAGGAGCGGAAAATTCAAGCAGCGAAGGAACGGTGTGTGCGAAAAAGGGTTTCACAATGGGGAGGGAGAGAGAAAGAACAGAGGGGGGATCAGGTAAATTTATGGTTTGGTTTTGCAATAATTCAGAGATTGTTTTAAGTGTTTCGGGAAATTCAAGACTTGTAGGGAGACAATATTGGGGGGTAGGGGGGGATGAGTAAGATTGGAACTGTAATGGGCTGTTCCAAGGTGGGGGGGGGGAAAGGGGGGGAGGAACTGGAGAAAAAGTTTGGGGGGGAAGAAGAGGCGAAAGGGGGGTGGAGAGAGGAAAATTTGGGGGGAACGGGGGGGAAGGTATATAGAGGAGGGGGGGAACCCTAAATTGTAACAGAGCCATTTTAGGGGTAAGAACCAGGTTTTCAGAGGAAAGGGGAAAGGGAAAATGAGGAGGTGGAAGAAGGGAAGGAGGGGTTAAAGGACCTTTTTTTGACTTCTGAGAAGTAGAGGGATGATTGGGAGGAGGTGTACGAGATCTCGTCGATACCAAAGCTTGTGAGGGAGAACACGAAGAAGCGAGAACGGGACTGAGGCGTTGAAGTAGAGACGTCTGAGCCAGGACAGCAAAAGAATTAGATGCAGGAGGGGATATGGGAGAGGTAACCACAGAGGAGGCTGCGAAGATGGGACCCCAGAAGTGGGGGACGTTTGAAACACGGGAATAAGAAACACGAGGTAGTCTCCCTTGGAGGCGGAGATGAGAAACTGCCATGGCATAAGGGAGACCTTCTGCCTCTTTGAGGTAACTGATTTCCCGCTCATTTAAGTAGACTTGGCAACGGCGAGAGTACGAAGGGTGAGCCTCATGAAAATTAAGGCAAGAGGGAGGTCGATTGCAAGACGTATTAGAATGGTCATCAGCACCACAGACTGTGCATTCGGCTATAGATCTGCAATATTTCGCTGGATAGCCAAATCGTCAGCAATTTCTACACTGTTGCAGTGTAGGGATCACCTTTCGAACTTGTAACCAATGTTCTGCTACATGAACTGAGGACGGGAGTTCATGGCTGTCAATAGTTAAACGAGCCACATTGCTAGGGTATCGTCTCCGCCCGCGGGCAGGAAGAACATAAGTGTCTACCTTGAAGATTGGGAGATCTTGGAGTTCCAGCTGTTCAAGAATGTCATTGCCACATGTTTGGAAATTTGTTGAACTATGGTATGGGGCAGAATGACGGTACCACTACAAGAATTGAGGGAATGATGTTTTTCAGTAGTGACAGGAACAGTATTGATATGGGAAAGAAGAGAAAGATCATGAGCTTGGGTAGCATTCTGTACAGTGATGATGCATGTACCGCTCTTAAGAGCATGAAAAGAAATATCTTGACCAACATGGCGTAGGAGTGCCTTGCCAATACTATGGTCGAAGAGAGGCCATAGAGGAAGTTGGTCATAAAGTGAAGAATTTAGTCCATTGTGCATTCTGAAGTTGAGCGTGGAAAGGGAGTGCAGGATGTGTCGATCTTTTCTGAGAAGAACGAGAAGGTGGAGATGTATCATCAGCAGGTAATTGTCGTTGGCGTTTAGGCGTGGGACCAGAGTTGGTCCGACGTGGAATGGGCCGGCGATTCGAAAATTGTTGCCGCACCGTAGAGAGAGAGGCCGGAAGCATAGTCAAAGGAGAGTGGAGGTCAGATAAATCGAAGGAGTCAGTCGAGACCTCAGTACCTGAAGCGGGTGAGGAAACAACACCGGCAAGAGGTACAGAGGCATTAGGAGTGTCCAAAGAGTGGTCCAAAGATGAGGCGGGGTCAGAACGGGGTGCGGTATCAAGAAGGGGCCCGGGGGTAGCAGGTTCATGGACTAGGGCTTCCATGGTTAGGTTACTTCTTTCTTTTTGTTTTTAAGAAAAAAAAGAAAGAAGAAAAGAAAAAAAAAGAAAAAAAAGAATAAAAAAGGGAGGACTGGGGAGGGATAGTTCCTAGGAGGAATGAAAGGGCCAGAAATCTCCCTCGGAGCCCAAGAGGACCTCAGCACCGCAAGTAATGCAGATGCAGCATGGAACCCATGCCATACCCTACCCATCATGCCAGTAAACCAGCAATCCGGGATAGCAACCTCGCATCTACCGAGCTACCTCGGTGGACAAAAGAGAGGGCGGCCGGATATCTGCCACAAAGCATATCTCCTTCGGCCACCACCCCCAGAATCCGAAAGGTGGCTTCCAGAGATACACCCATCGCCCGAAAGACACCCAAAGCCACCCTTCGGGATACCGGAGAGGGATCGGGACATCCCCAGGCAATCCAGATTCCATGGCAAACTACGCCACCACCAAGAACCTCAACGGAATGGGATGGACCCCGGTACCCTTTCTCCTACCTAGGAACTAGCGTGCTTGTGGAAAAAAATCCCAAAGGCCAAAAAGGAAGGGCAAAAGGGAGGGGTGGGGAGGAGGAGGAGGAAAGGAAAAAGGCGAGCATGGGGAAGATGGGAGAGGGAAGGGGGGATTGGGGAGTAATTAGGTTCGGTCTGAGGAAGGAGACCGACAGGTCTAATTCCTCAGACCAAGAGCCTCTTCACCACGCCAAGGAGCCCCCTTGAAGAGGACGAAATACATAAAATACAAATACATAAACTAAAGCAAAACCTGTAGGTTCACTGCATGATGTATGTGATGAAGTTTTGTGACAGTCTTGAGACCATCATCGTCATGCACTTAGCAATAACTGTGCTAGAACCTGTTTAACAAAACTTACTTTGACAGCGATGTCCTTCTTAAAGGTGTCATCAATGAAGGTGCTGTCATAATTGACATGACCTGAAGACGGGTGCAGTGACACTAGTTTATCCTTAAGAACCCGCCACGGCAGGTTCAAGTTACTTTCATTCTCCATTACCTCTACCCAGTCCCCAACACTTATGTAACCTGTGGAGGGAACACTGTGTCACTGTACAACCTGTGGAGGGAACACTGTCTCACTGTACAACCTGTGGAGGGAACACTGTGTCACTGTACAACCTGTGGAGGAAACACTGTGTCACTGTACAACCTGTGGAGGGAACACTGTCTCACTGTACAACCTGTGGAGGGAACACTGTGTCACTGTACAACCTGTGGAGGAAACACTGTGTCACTGTACAACCTGTGGAGGGAACACTGTCTCACTGTACAACCTGTGGAGGAATCACTGTGCCACTGTACAACCTGTGGAGGGAACACTGTCTCACTGTACAACCTGTGGAGGGAACAGTGTGTCACTGTACAACCTGTGGAGGGAACACTGTCTCACTGTACAACCTGTGGTGGAAAATCTGTCACTGTACAACCTGTGGAGAGAACACTGTGTCACCATACAGGTCTACTTTTACTGGGAAATAATCTCTAACCTGAGCCTCACTATCCTCGTAAAAACTCTTAACCGCTTTCAGTAACCTACCCCCTATTCCATACATTTGCAACAGCTTCCACATTGCTACCCTATTCACCCTTATCATATGCCTTTTCCAAATTCATAAATACAACGAAAGCCTCTTCACCCTTATCTAAATACTTTTTACTTATATGCTTCACTGTAAACACTTGGTTTACATACCCCTACTCTTCCTAAATCCTCCTTGTTCATCTGCAATCCTGCTCTAAGTCTTACTCATATTTTACTCAATAATTATATAACATACACCTTACCAGTTATACTCAAGAAGCTTATTCTCGTTTGACTTCATATAGAGGAACTATTCATGTTCTCTGCCAGTCCCTAGGTACCTTTCCCTCTTCCATACATTTATTAAATAAAAGTACCAACCATTCCATATTTATATTCTCGCCTACTTTTAACATTTCTCTCTATATCCCATCAATTAAATCTGCTATACTCCCTTTCATTCTACCCACAGCCTCACACACCTCCCCAACACTCATTATAAATATATATATATATATATTATATATATATATATATATATATATATATATAAAATTTTATTTATATTATATATAGTGTGTGTTTTGTGTGATACATGTTTGTGCCGAATAGGCAGAACTTGCGATCTTGGCTTAAAAACCAACGTTCATCTTGCCATACAGGACAAGCGAAAATTTGTGTATGCAATAATTTCGCTTTAAAATCATTCTGAACTAACGAAAAATATATATTTCACTGTGTTTGTTTGTATTAAATTACTGTAAACAAATCTAAAATATTTTTTAGTGGGTTAGGCTAAAATAAATTGTTCTTGTTATAATAAGGTTAAGTAAGTTTTCTAAGATTCTTTTGGAGCAAAATTAAAAAAATTTTTCATTAACATTAATGAAAAAAATATATCTTTAACGTATATAAGAGAAAATTTTAGAAAGAACTTAATTTTAAATGAGTTCTTGCTAATTGACCAGGGTTTTTCATATTCGGCACGAAACACACACACAACTAATATTAAAATATATATATATATATATTTATATATATATTATATATATATTTTATATATATATAATATATATATATATTTTTATTTTTATATATATATATTATATATATTATATATATAATTGTACCCACGAACGAGTGGTATTGATAATAACACTGCGACTAGCCAGAGTCGAACAAATGCTGCTTTGGCATGCCTCATGGTGAGCAAAAACATATGACGCTCTAGTCCACGGGACCACACAATATTCAAGAACCAAGCACAAAGCCAAGCTAGGTGTGTTACCCTTGGTCCGAGGACATATGGTGGTGTGGATGCTCCTGAGCTAATTTCCCTGTTTGGTGTACTAGCCCAACGAGCAGTATTTTATATTATTTTACCTACGAACGAGTGGAATTGATCAATAACAACACTGCGACTAGCTAAGGAGTCGAACTCTTGCTGCTTTGGCCTCCCTCGTAGTGAGCGTAGTCGCAGTGTCGTTATTGATCAATTCCACTCGTTCGTGGGTACAATAATATAAAATACTACTGTCATTTCGCCCTACATCATATCGTGTATACTTATTTATCCTCTTTTTCTTAAAATATGTATTACCTATAACTAAACTCCTTTCTATACAAAGTTCAATCAAAGGGCTCCCATTATCATTTACACCTGGCACCCCAAACTTACCTACCACACCCTCTCTAAAAGTTTCTCCTACTTTAGCATTCAGGTCCCCTACCACAATTACTCTCTCACTTGGTTCAAAGGTTCCTATACATTCACTTAACATTTCCCAAAATCTCTCTCTCTTCTTGCATTCCTCTTTCTCCAGGTGCATACACGTTATTAGGGAACCCACTTTTTCATCCAACCTTTACTTTAATCACTTTAATCCTTGAATTTACACATTCATATTCTCTTTTCTTCTTCCATAACTAATCCTTCAACATTATTGCTACCCATTCCTTAGTTCTAACTTTCTCAGATACTCCAGATTTAATTCCATTATTTCCCCCCCTGAAAATCCCTACCCCCTTCAGCTTTGTTTCATTAGGGCCAGGACATCCAACTTCTTTTCATTCATAACATCAGCAATCATCTGTTTCTTGTCATCCGCACTACATCCACGCACATTCAAGATCCCAGTTTTATAAAGTTTTTCTTCTCTCTTTTTTAGTAAAAAATTACAGGAGTAGGGGTTACTAGCCCATTGCTCCGGCATTTTAGTCGCCTCATACGACATGCATGGCCTTACGGAGGAAAGACTCTTTTCCACTTCTCCATGCACAAAAGAAGAAATAAAGAAGAACAAGAGCTATTTAGGAAAAAAAGGAGAAAAACCTTGATGTAGTATATATAATATATATTTTATTATATATATATATATATATTTTATATATATATATATATTTTATATATATATTTTATATTATGCATGTGCGTGTCTGTGAGTGTGACCAAAGTGTAAGTTGGAGTAGCAAGATATCCTGTTATCTAGCGTGTTTATGAGACAGAAAAGGGCACCAGCAATCTACCTCATGTAAAACAGTTACAGGTTTTGTTTCACAGTCATTCTGGCAGGGACGGTTAGTACTTCCCTGGGTGGTTGTGTCTACCAACCCACTACTCTTATATACATTATATATATATATATATATATATTTTATATTATATAAAATATATATATTATATATATATTATATATATATATATATTATATATATAATATATATATTATATATATATATAAAATAAAGCAACGCAGGTACCTTTACCCGCATTTCTGTCTTCGTGTTTGGCTTCCAGTGGATTAGTCAAGAAGATTGACCCTTGAGAGACGCGGTAGGAGCCCAAGACACAAGGTTCATTGAAGCAGCCGTGCGGTGGGACATCCTTGCAGACTCCAGTACACCAGCTCCTCCCAAAAAGCAGAGTCTCAATGGGACAAACCGATAATGGAAAAAAATCGCCAACGTGATGCTCACAAACTGTTAAGGCTTACTCAGCCCTTTAACAACTTCAGACAGTATTACCAAGGCTGGCTCCTCCTCAGGAAAATTAATGAATAGAAAAAGAAATAATAATTCACAAAGATAAACACTTTATTATTTATTAATGCAAAGAATTAAAACACTGAAACATGAAGGTGTATCCTACTTGAAAGAAAAATGAAAAATGAAATGGAAAAATGACATTTGAATTCAACGCTAATATGTACAGTTATACCGGGGTGTCTGGTTGAGGTTGATACCGTCTTGTAGAAATTGTAGCCGTAGCCGATGTGAGGGGAGGGGTCAAGGTGTTGAGTGACAACCCCAAAGACTAGTTCTTCACAGAGTCTTAGCCTTGAATAGTCAGTCCAGATGACAGGAACGCAGGTTCTTTACCACTGCAAAGATGAGGGGTAGTGTCCTGTACAATTAATCAGGTAGGTAGATCATGAAGTGACGTCCCAAGACCAGTTTCAGTCCGTCTCCTTCAACACTTCTCGTTGGTTGGCAGGTGACCCAATCTGTCATTCCAAGCTGGAAAGAGAGACAGGTTACCCACTGCTTAAGAAATCACTCTCCATGATAAGTGCAAGATACTTAAAAAAGGTGGTGATTATAGACAAGTCTTATGTGGAACTTAAAACTGAAAGGACTAAGTTTATTATTGGTCAAAAGTGAAGCTTTCAACCAATATCCACTAGAATAGGAGCAGAGGCTTTTACTTACAGTTGTGCTGGGAGCTGTGAGTCGAGTGATTACTGTTTGGCCAGAGCCCCACACGTCACCTTTTGGGGTGGGGAGAAAGGGGGGGAAGGGATAACGGGAGCGAGACTGACCCTACCTTAACAAGCAGCCGGCAATCAAACTATCATTACCGACTCCTATCTGTTGAACTTTTCCCTCACACTCCCCCATACCAAGACTTATAGTCAAGGAGTATAAAAAGAATAGGTGAGGAAAAAGTTCTAATACGAAGTCGCGTAAGGCAACAAATCTACTGACTGTCACGACTTAACCAGTCAGAGAAATAATTGGATGAACCATTGATATACACAATATGAAATTTAAAAGCTTGGAGCGCCAAGGTCCACCTTAAGAGGCGACTGTTGGTTCCCTTAAAAGTTTCTAGGTATATCAAAGGTTTGTGATCCGTTTCTAAAATAAATTCTTTTCCCAGTAAATAAAATTTATGTTTGGAGATACCCCACACAAGGGCCAAACATTCCTTTTCTGTGGTGGAGTATCTCGTTTCTGCAGGAAGAAGTTTCCAGCTTAGGAAGCATACAGGGAAAGGTGTACCATCATGGTACTGTAGTAACACTGCACCTAAGCCAGTATTGGAGGCATCAGTCCTTAAACAAAACGGCTTATTAATATCTGGAATTTTGATTATAGGATCTTTAGAGATGTCCTTAATCTCATTAAACTTTTCTCGAGCTACGTTGGAAAGTTCAAGAGGTTCCTTCACAGACTTTTTAAGGTAGTCAGATAAGATGCCTGTAAGATCAGTAAGGTTCGGGAT